TTTAATGCACTGAAGTTTTAGTGGAATATATCAGAGAAAATTTAATTGCACGAGTTGTAGAATCACGCGAAATAAAATTTTTCGTATCGTTTTCACTCCAGATCGAGCAAGTATTCGCATGATACCGTGGTACCATGCATGTACCATATTACAGACGCCGTATTATCACGCTTGATCCTAGTGTGTGGCCTCCGATGTGTTCCAAGAGCGATACACTTTAACATCAAGCTCAGCCGTTCTCAAGCGCTACACACGCGTACACGCTTGTGCGTCGATCAGTGGCGTAATGATCGCTTCTGCGACCGCTTGTAAAGAACATTGAAGGAGTGGCACGTGAATCAGACGATCAGAGGATCTCTCTCAGGGCTAATAATATCGGAAGATTAATGGAGCTATTCGCGGAACCGATGTTTTTTAGCTTGCTAATTCGCTAAGACAGCTCTCAAGTTGCTGTGAGGAATTCTTTTCTCCGAGCGTCCTTTTTAAGCGTAAAGGATCATTCTAGAAATTCGAGATGTAATTATCGTTCGTTAAAAAGAATTGTGTTAAACATATCCTACTTTCCTCTATCACTTTTTCCTATTTTTTAGATAATCTTAGCTATTTATATAAAAAATTTATACATCTATATAATTCTCTCAAAAGTTATTATTAAAATAATCATGGAAAATATTCGGAATAATTCCCGTAATACATCTTTAGCACGGAAGAAGTAAATACTCCAAAATTTAGTCATACATATCTTTAACACGGAAGAAGTAAATACTCCAAAGTTTAGTCATACATATGCGTGATCATATGAAGCCATGCAAGCATTAAAGATATTAATAATTATACGTCGGCGGACATTAAATCAATTTGGATTCATAGCAAAATATTTCCTATATATGTCACAAAAGACCTTTATAATAAATTTTAATTTTATATACATAATATATATTTCTTTAAATTCTCTTTTCTAAAAAAAAATTATTTGTGCTTGATAATTAAAAACAAAAAAGTTATTTTCAAATTAAAAATTGGTATTTCTTTGTATATTAATATTTATTACAACGCTTAGATACATATGTGTTTTGTTTATCGCATGAGTTCTATAAAGGATGTTGAAGAGATAAGTTATAGATGACTTGGCATCCTCGGCGAAGACGATAACTTTAACAGAAATAGAACAAAGTGGTTCTGAAATTGGCCGATCCTACCTCCATTCTACAGCATCGGATTGAGTTGCAACTTCTCTCTTTGCATACGCCATTGGCATCATCGACATATACGTAGGTGCACTTCAGAGCACTTCGATATTGCATTTTGCCAGAGAGAGAGGGTACGCACTCGCGTTACGTCAAGCTGTGTTATGTCTCACATTAATAGCGAAACGCAACTTGTTGTGTTCGGCGAAGAGTTAGGCGAGAAAGATGAGCAGAACATGCAACTTCCGGTCAATGTATCGATTTACACGATATTGCAGTTTCGCATATAACACGAAATTTCATGTAATTCTTGGTGCATTAATCGTTACAGAGATAACTGTACGACGCATTATTTCAATGCCAATTTTCGCGTAACCGGAAACGATACAAGATTATGGAAACATATCCCGTAAATTATTTACGACGTGTAGTCTCGTGTATTTAAATCCCTCTCTCCTCTCCCTTCCTCCCTCTCTCTCTCTCTCTCTCCTTCTCTCTGTGTTTGTCTGTTTCTAAGAGAACGTTAAATGCAAAACTTTTATCTTCGAATTATGTAAACACACAAGGTAGGATTTAAGGTAATATATATTAAATGAATCACCCTGTATAACGAGCGTACATACTTATATAAGTATAGTGGCTTACGCGCTCGATATTAAGTATTCTACTCGCATTACCTCCCTCTGAACACAGAAAGTTACATACTTTTCCGCCTTATATGCGACGGCAGTGCTGTGCAAACCTAATTAGGGACTCCGGCAACGGACATCGCAAAGAAAGACGAGAAAAGTTGACGGCGTGCGCGTAAAGTATTTGCTCCGTCCGGAAAGTTGGATGCCCGATTTCCTCTCGGTGCGACAAGATGGGAGTCCTTAAATTTTGCAGTCCTACAGATGAAAGTTTAGCGATTCTCTAATGCAACGAGCGTTCGTGACAATTATAACCGAGATTGTGAAATTGGATTGCGTTTCGTTAATGCGTCTAGTGCAAGAGCGACACTTTATCACCGGTTCTCGAAAATTTGTATGATATAAATGGATTAACTAAAATTCCGCGACCAACCCGTAACTCGTTTAGTTGGAACCAAAAAGGCGCTCTTGGAGCCGATTAATTCCAGTACCAATTAGCCAAACTAATATAGTAGAAAGTTTTGGATACGTAACTATTCTGTTGGAAATTTCACAAATCAACTTCCATACAAATTACTTAAACTATCGATTTTATTATATATTACATTACGATTTTATAAATGTACTCCTTCTTACTTTATCATAAAATATAAAATTATATGCAATTTTTTAATATAAATATAATTTTTTTAAATTAAACAAATGAATTCTTGATAGATCATTAATTTTATTTTAAAGAATTTAATATACTTATGTATAAATTGATATATTTTTATTAATTTATTTTTAAAATATAATAATATTATAAAGATTTACATAAATCTGTTTTTTAAACATACTTTTTGATAAATTCACTCTCTATTACATTAAAATTACCATTAATTTTACTTTAACTTCAAACAAATTAATCTTCAAAATAAATTGCTTTTTTTCAAATTTCTAAATTTATCTTCAAAATAAATTGCTTTTTTTTCAAATTTCATCCTCCATTCTTTATTCCTGGTTCGTTATTTTATCATCTTTATGTCATACGACAAAAGCATAAAGATAAAAGTACGGCACTGACTTTACAACCGCCTATCGTAAAGTACACCGCTCGTCGTTGCACCAGAACGAGATGTAAACATGTTTCTCGTTGATACCCTTTTGTAACACAGTTTACACGAAATACCGTGTGGAACATTCAATTTTATTATCGATTCATACATTTTTTTATCACTGGAAATAAGAAGATATACACGAGACGTGCAGCAGATATGTTGTGAACTTCACATTTTTGCGATATGAAAAAAGATAAGGATTGTCGCTATTGTACAAAGTACACGCGTCATCAAATCGTAACATTTTTATTCTCACGAAATTTCCTCGTAGCGAGAATAATATTAAAATAAAAAGATATTTACTTCAGGTTGCACGAGATCGTAAATAATAATAATAATAGTTTCACGTACGCGCCTCAACTTTGCACGTCTCAACTATGCGATAAACCTCTATTCGCCGCGCTTAATTCGCAAGACCGGAGGTATATCTATGCACCTGTGCGCTATGTATACCATCGTCGGAACACAAAAGGCTAACTTCCTAATCTCTACGGAAGTTGCGCCGTAAACTGCGCGGCGCGACCGGAACTGAATCGATGCTCGACGACCTCGAAACCGCGGCGTGTTTTCGGCAGACATCCCGGGGACTCCGATCCAAGACTCTGATCCAAGAGCAGATGCTACGAGCTAAGCCAAACCGAGCGGCTGCCATCCGACACGGATTGTCGGTCCCTTCGGGTCGCTTGTCGGTAGGGCCGCTCTCTTCGTGATGCCGGCTGGCGTTTTCTGTCAGTCGTCGGTAGACTGTGGAGCTAGCCGGTCGATTGGGACCGCCCGTGTGTAAAAAATAAGCGCTTTCTGTCTTCCGGTAGTGCACGCGCCATCCTCGATCCGACTTGTCACTGATCGATCAGTTCAATCATACAAGATACAGAAGAAAAAGAAGGGATTTTTAAAGGATGATGAGAATCGGTAAACAGAGTTCATCGGCGTAAACACGTAGATCCGTGATCTGTCGAGTCGCATTCCGCGACAGGAGGGTGCCCGCTGATCCGGGGTGGATCTCGACGGGAGATCGTGAGGCCTCTGTGTATCGTAACATAGGGTCGAGCCGTAAATAATGGTGACCGGCACGCGATACGACGCACGACTTTCGTATAACGTTACGATCGGGACGTAAAGAACATTAATAATCTTGCTGTACATGAACGAGAAGAGAAAGAGAGTGTGTTCCTCCGGTATTTTTTAATTAAGTCTTATCCTTCGCTAACGAGATCTGCTCTTTGTTTCACAAACCGTGGACTCTGTATCTTTCTTAAAAGATGGCTTATCTTTATAATCCTGTAGAAGGTAGTATATATTATTGAGCATATATGATTAAAGAGCGCATTAATTATGGATTCGAAAATACTGGTGTAGTGCAGCGGTTTTTAGAAGTCAAGAAGACGGGATCTGGGAACGATATCGTTGATGACAGCGAATTAAATTTTTAACAATGGATGTGCAACCGTTAATTTTCGAGTCACGATGAAAAATTGAAGCGATTTTCTGGCGTAAGACCGGACCGAGACGGCAAGAAAACTAGACGCTGTAACCTTCTATGATCGATGAGAACGGAAGATTATGATCTGAATTTCTCAGGACGCATCGATTAAACTTTGACGTGTCGTCGTTATGAGATGAGAAATGACATTGTATGCTCGCAGGGTGTAACGCAATACGATAATGTAATAAGCTTCTGATATATACATACATAACAGCCGATGATAGACGATAATGATTCTATGAATATTTCATAATAGCTTAACGAAAATCGGAGCACAATTCGCGTTTCGGAGCAAAAGACGTTTCTATTATGATGTCATCGAACGAGAAGAATTATTATTCAACGAGGCTCGATAATTTTGACAATTAAATGACAATTTTATATAAAGCACAATTTCTTTCTCGATCCTTTCAACTTCGCAATATGGTTTATGAAGTCAATTTGTATTTACCGTCTACGCGCATTTTTCCGCGGTACATAATGTATACTGTATCGTACAATTGAATATCGATCGAATACGCGGTGTGCTCGTCTTCAGCATCTTCCACGATAACGCGAATCGTGACCTAGTCCAGGCGCGTATAAAATCGACGATAGCGAACTGGACAGCCGCCAGTCTTGCGAGAGCCGCGCGCGAGAGCGGACGTCGCTCGTTATACGCCGATGCGGTGCCACGTGAGGGAAAAGCCAGGAGGAAAACTTGTTCGCGCGCAACTCCGGGATATGTAACATTTTCTTCCCGTTTCTTCCCTCTCGTTGTGGACTTGCGTTATCGCGTCGAGCGACAGAAATGATGTGCATCGCACCGGAACTGTGGCGGAATTAAACGAGCGAGATCGAAGTACATGGGACGTATCTAATAAGTCATCGGATTTAATTTTGTCGAGAAAAATACGGGAAATCGATCTGTGCTGATCTTCTCGCGGATCTTCGACGCAGGACAAAACGAAAAAAAAAATTGAAAAATCAAACGAAACGTCAAACGAAAAAGAACTGAAACATAAATCAAAATTTCCAACGAATGTGATTCTATTTGCTACTTTTGTTAATGAATAACATTATTGTAATATAAATAAAAAATCAATATTTTCTATTAGAAGATTCTAAAAATACAAGGATAAATACGGAACTATTAATATAAAAAATTCTCAGAAATTCAGAGAAATAATCAAATACAATTACAGAATCATAACATTTAAGTGTGTCAAGTAAAAGGAATCTTTTCATTAAATAACAATACAAATCGAATAATGAGTCAACAACAAAATTACATACTTCCATCGAACGAAATATGTGGTAACCGCATTTATTACATCGCTAATTGCATTTATTAAATTTTTAATCGGGACCACACTTATATGAGAATTATGACTGTTTTATGAAATTAAGTACGTTCTCAAACGTTCTCAAGCAGAGCTTAAAAATAAAACGAAAAAAAAGAAAACGAAGAATTTCCAAAGGACGGAAGGTTATTCGAGATATCCCCATTGAGACTTCCGGTATCTCATGTAGGATATTCTCAAAAGGTTTACGCTGACAGACCTTGAAAGTACTTCCGCGTGAGGTGTGAATATAGCTATTATGAAATCCCTGAAGAGATTGAGCGTTTAGAGTTGCCGCGCGGATAAAACTTCCATTACACCTGAGACGAAACCAATTCTTCATAAGGGTAACCCGGAAGGATCTTCGCAATATCTCGCGCGCACCTTTACTCCATCAAAAGTTTCACCCCTTGCGGCAACTCCCGTGAAAATCAGAATCGCGGAAATCCTGTTCGCGAACAACTTGAAAAAAGTACATATTTCTTATACGTAAAATAAAAAATTATTTTCCATCGAGAAAATATAAATCTTATCGGTGAAGATACTCTTCTTGAGACTTGAGAGAAAAACTTTTATAAACTGTGCAAAATATTATCTCTCTCTCTCTCTCTCTAGAATCTCTATCAATATTATCGTCAAAGAAGTTATTTGCGTCGAACTTTCAAGAAGCATTACGAGCATCAAATTATTACCAAGTCTTTAATTCTCTGGAGACTAATTTTCAATTTCCCGATTTTTTATTTTACAAGAAACATCTGATAGATTTATTTCGAAAAATCTGCAATAGTAGGCTCCTCCAATAGTAGAGGGAATCCCATCGTACATTGCGAGATGCACCGGATACGGAAGAGTTTCCAGAAGACGAGTGAGAAGTTCTGGGAATCTTAAGCAGCGACAAAAAGGACGGAAGAGGCAAAGAAGAATCACGAAAGCGAAGGAGGAAAAGAGGCAAGAATTGCAAATAACAAGTAGAGACGAGGAAACGTTTCAGGAATGCCGTGGATAAAATGTTTGGGTGGTGGAGGCGGAAAGGCCAGGAGGGGCAAGCCACTCAGCGTCAGTCAACCGATCCACCTGCTCGTCAAGGTAAGATTCCTCTCGTAAAGTTTTCCACGCGATTTTCTGGCGGCGAATCTTGGGACGAACCGAGCGAAAATTCGATCTATTCAGGTCGTTCCTTTCAAAGAGAATTTTTCAGAGTCCAATACCGATGTCTTTTATGGAGTTTCTTCAAATTACAAAGAGTGATAAAGCAGAAAAATATATATAAATATCCATAAAATAAAATAAAGCTTAAAGATGTTTAAAGATAAAATTGTAAACTTTTGATTATACATCTTGTTAATGTTTCTAAGAATAACAAGTTATAAAAGGAAGAAAGTAAATTTTACTTTATTTTTTATATACTTTAGTTTATATGATTTTATAGAAATTAAAAATCAACGAAAAATTAGAAGACAAATTAATCACGTTGAAATGGAGTTTAATAAGAAATACATATTATATGTACTGCAAAAAATTGCAGTAAATTGCAAATTTGTGTAGCATATAAATCTAGATTCTCACATGTATTATTTAAAAATACATGCTCGAGAAAGTCATTATAATTGAATTCATAACAGTAACAAAAACGGTAATACTTTTACTTGATTTATTCGATATCATAGCACATGGCCTTGCCGTCTTGTACATAGCTATCAGTTTTTTTAACAAGCCTCTTGAATTAAACGAGAAATATTCTGGTTTCCATAGTGCTTTATTGCGATGTAATTACGATGTACAGAAATGTGGAATGTTTCTCTCGTAAAAACTTAGTTCTTTCAATTCGCTTATAAAACAAAGCCCACAGCACAGGTATTTTAGAGTACGATTGTTCTCGATTAAATTAAGTAATAATATGCATGCGTTATGATAATTAAAATGTGAATATTTTTAATTTAATTTGAAAATCGCAATTTATGTCAATTGTCGTAAATACAAATTTACTATTAGATTTAAATTCGATACGTGTCAGTGCAAAGGAACGCATTATTATTAAAGAATTATTAAAATTTTTTTTTATTAAAATGCAATGTAATTTTGGAAATCAAATTTTAACTAATATTTTAATTTCTCCCAATTCGTGACACGGGTGCCTCTGGCATTATACTTCATTATCCTTCATTATCCGAGAAGCAGCATCCTAAGGTCAAGTTGTTTAATCCTCGGGACCTGATAAGTCTCGCAATAAATCCTAATATTTGTTTCCCGCCACTAATCGTCGTTTGTTGTGAGTTTTCTTCTTCATTATCGTTGACTGTTTTTCCCATGAATATCAAGTTTAAAGATACAGGCAATTTAAAGATATAGAAAAAATAGAATAGACATTAATGAACTATATTTTACCATTAATAAGTACGATAAAGTAAAAAAAAGAAGAAAGAAGCAGTCTTCTACGTAATGTGAGAGAATGTAGGAGGGTTTCCGCTTAAGGCAACGGTTATTAGGCAGTTTCTTTATTCCTGAGATGCCGTAAGATCGAGAGATACAAAATCTCCAGATGACGGAGGGACACCGAGGTGGTCAACATTTCTCCTTCCCGCCGGCTAGCTGATTTATTAATTCTCCACGACGGCCTTTTCCTCGGTTCCGGGCCCCTTTCGACGGACGCCCCGCGGGTACCGCGATCGATTCGACGATATCTCGGGCACGACCCAGCAATTAAGCCGGTAATAACAGACGCGATGTTAGCCACTTGTTAAAATTACAACGAGCCCCGAGTCGTGATACTCGTTGCACGAACAACTTGCTGAAACAATTTTTGTATGATATCATTGTTCTATTGCTTTGTAATTGCTATACAAGAGTGCGTAACATTTTCGGATACGTAACAAGAGAGTGTAATATGTTTTGAGGATTTTGAATAAGCGCAACAATTAAAAATAATTTATGTGCAAAACATAAATGTTATTCGGATTTAACATATTTCCTAGTGTAATAAGAATTCAGATATTTTATGTAAACTGCTGTGTGTTATTGCTCTATAAAATACGTTATGTGAACTTTATTTTGAAATTTACAACAGGAATAAAATCAATTCCGACTAACAATGAAAAATCATAATTATGATAAGGAATAAATTATAATAAAAATCATAATAATTAATTCGGAGAAATTTGACTTTAAAAATTATACAATGATTCAATTTTGTATATTATCTTATAAAATACCCAGACAACATTTTTGCGAAATGAGATAAAATTACAATACAGGAAGCAAAAAAATGCTATCTTGATGGCACGAGACAGCATTCGTGCGAAAAGCTCGTGTTTCAGCTTTCTGGTCTTCGCATACCGTATGTATCGAACAAGCTGTCCCAGCAGTCGTGCACACGTAGACATCATCAAAATACAACGTCATCACGGTCACGTTGAAAAAAAAATGTAATATTGGACGATTTTATTAATTATACAATTGGAATGAGTCGCATTTCTTCGTTGGTAAATCACATGAAATTGCGAGATATTGTCATAGAAAATAAATTAATTCCCGCCCGATTCATTGTGATCAATTCACATCACACGTTTCCGTATTTACATATTGTGCACAGCAGCACCGTTACAATGAAACGCGCGTACACATAAATTGCAAAAATAAACGTACCGGTAATTGAATATCGGGGTCGTTCATCGCGAAACAGTAAAATGGTGGAAGATCAACGATTCGATTTCCATCAATTATAAATTTGCTGGAACTAATAGAAAAAAATAAAATTTCATTTGGACAAATGCATAGAACATTTTATTCATTCTTGATTCAATTTTATCTGAGAAAGGCGTACCGACATGCATGAATAAAAACGCTAGTCGATTTTGCAGAGTTCTGTTTATTCTAAAATAGTTCTCGATATGATATCGAGCATATTCTTATATTTTCTAAAAAAATTCTAATTATTAAAAATTTAAAAATTTAAATTAAATTAAATTACTAAAAATTATTTTAAATAATTTACTTTGTTTTAGAAAAACATATTTATATATATTTGCACAAGAACATGCATTTTAATTCTCTTAACAGTATTAAAATAATTTTAATCGTTAGCAGAAAATATACTATAAGTAAGATTGATAAAAAAATGACAAGCATTAAGAGGCAATTACATAATACTAAGTCACTTATGGCAGCGTTTTATTAAAGCGGCACTTTAAACGCGATACGATATTCTACGGAATTACAACCGGAGCATTATTTCTATCTGCATAAAATGACGTAAATACGCGAACGTAAATTATATGGTTTGGTAATATGTATATATACGATGAACGCGATAGCAATGTAAAATTGTATGTTTGTAGAAATACCGTTTATTAATTTAATGCCTTAAGCTTCTTAAAATAATAATAAATTAATAAACCATATTATTAAATATTTTTATACATATACAGATTTAAAATTCCGTTGTTGAAATGTAATATTATTTTCATTAGCTTTGAAATATCCTTGCATCAAATAATTATATAATATATATATAAATTCTTTTGCTAATATAAAATTTCATATAAAAAACCGTAATTTTTAATCTCTAAAGACACGTTCTAAAAAAAAGTATAAAATTTCGCAATCAATATTGAGCCAATCTACAAAGATTGTATTTGGGAGATATGACGAAAGAAAGAGAGAGAGAGAAATGTTTGGGAGATATGACGAAAGAAAGAGAGAGAGAGAGAAATGTTTTTCCCGACACTTGTGTATCTGTCGGTGCTTCAAGTCCGGTCCGACCACCATGATTTTCCAGCGGCTTCAAGTTGGCGTTTCTGAACGTTCATATACAAGAGAAGGAGAAAACCGAGCTCTGTTATTATAACCGTACTATTATCGGTACCGACACACGGCGATACACCTGCACGCGTGTATGCACGCGCGTACGAAATACCACCCACCGTCGTCGACATGCGCGCTCCTTCGCGATCGGCAATTAAATTAGCGGACCCTTCGGGCACGGCCGATTTTTCCGCTGCCCACGCGGTGATTCGTTCCCGCATGAATGATTGATATTTTCCGCATACAGGAACATATATGTGCCCCTTGAAATTTTAATAAATTAAAATATCCCTTGATTTAATGGAGATTAAATTGGAATTAAAATGGTATCACATAGATGTATCAAGTATTATATATAATTTTTCAATTTCAAAAGAGTACAAAAAGACGGATATTATCATTATTAATGCGGGAAATCAAGAATATGATAAAAATATTATATTCATAGTGATTTTATATTAATATTTGGATTAAAAAACGATCAAACGCTTTCTTTTATTTCATTTATGTATTTCATTCAAAATATCTGAGATTAAGATATAATAATTAAAATATTATTTTACATATTATTTTACTATTAATGCATAAAAATATCACACGCTTTCCGATGGATGTGAACTCTTTATCCTAACGAGAAACTACTAATATATTGTGTCACAAGAGACATGTATAAATAAAATAATATTGTTTTCTTTTAAGTGATATTTTCTGTTAGTTTTGTAACACTCTCCATTTTTTTAGCCTCAACAAGCAATGCAATATCCTTCCAAAGGTTAGATCTCTTCGTACGTTGTCGATTCTACCTACGCGCATGAACACACTCTACTTTGCGGTACGTTTACAGGCTTTGCTCAATACCTTACGATGTTTGCTCTTCGCACACGTATTTTTCTTACACCTCGTGGGCGCTATCATAATATTGCCTTACATAGCTTTTCCATACTTATCTCGATACACAAAACGCAAATGCGGTCATAGTAATAAGAACGACTCTCTTTTATCACTGATATGAATATATCATATAGAAAACCAAATCTTCAAGTGGATTATTTCATATGGAAATTCATAACAGGTGCATCATGTATACGTAATTGATAGCTTCGCGCATTCGCCAGTTCGATGTTTCAGGGACCATGATGATTACGTGAATTTCCTAATCCTCGACATGAATTGCAAGGCCTGCGGGTTTGTAAAGTCGTGAGCGTGTCCGTTAACCTTTCGACAAAGATTTACTAGAGTTTTCAGGAATCGATCAGATATAATATACGGTTGTTTCAATATAGATC